ATTCTTCCACTGGCTTTGGGGGAACACAAGTCTCTACTTGCTTTCTCTTTTCAGTCATATAGTCTGTTAAACACTAGAGGGAGTGCAGAAGATGAATAATCCTTTTGGATGGAAATGGAGTGCGATTAGAATTTGAATGTGCTTTGTACAGGCTTCATTTGAATCCATATATTTCCAAAGGTCTCAAAGATTTTGAAAGTCAGTAGAGATGACCTAGACTAAATCAATCTTTAACAAGATTCAGTGTCCTGTAGAGTTCTAGCTCTTAGAAAATTATCTAAAAATCCAAAGAATAATCTGTCTGGAAACAGCTCTTTGTCTTCCTAACCACATCTTTTAACTTCAAAGGTAACAATAAAACTTGCAAGTAAAGTGGTACAATTGCACGGCAAAACATCGAATGCAATGCAGCTGGAATAGGGCACTCCACATAACATAATTATTTTTTAAAAATAGGTTTTTTACTAAAAGTAAATGGTGATAGTAAATGCCTAAGCCAAAATGAGTCTGATTTCCGAGAAGGTCATAGATAATGGCACTTAAAAAAAAAAAAAAAAAAAGTATGTGAAGTATATGAGAAAAGTATATGAAAATACAGCTTTATAAATCTGAACTGAAGAAAAACCATGGGAAAAAGGTTCTGACCTCATAAAACGAAACTCTGGCCATTTCCCATTTTGGTACAGACCAGAGAAAACTGAGACCTGTAGAATAATCTCAGCTGCAAGACCGCTGGCAGCCTCTAGCCCAGCCACCTGCTCAAAGCAGAGGCAGCTTCAAAGCTGGATCAAGTCACTTGAGGCTTCATTGCTTCCCGCTGGATTACACACGCCCTTATCCCATGGTGATGGCAGTCAAGGTCACCATCGATGGTCACCATCACCATCCTTCTTATTCTTGAACAGCAGATCTGGCAGAGCATCTCCCTAGATAGATGGTCTATCTAGGGCAGGCGTCAAAATGTTGTCCCCGATGCTCTCCCCACTCCTTGCCTCAAATTTGTACTTTCAAACACTCCAAAACCCTTGTGAATACCTAAATGCACAATCAAAATGCAAGAAAATAGGTTAGTTCCATATCGGTTTGCTGTCCTGATGCAAGAAAGACACCCAGCAATCAGCTGCATATGATGCTTTCAAGGCTGACCATGTCCATTTGATCTAGAAAAATACAACAGCAGTAAAAACACTCAAGCCAGCAAATCCACACCACTCTTTGCATGCGCACTTGAATGCCTTGCTTTCTTAAAGTCAGTAGATTTTTCTCTTTGGTTCCCACTGTGATCTTTATACGTTTAAGTACCACTTAATGCAGGAGTTTGGTAAATAAAAGAATATTAGGAGGAGGTTTTCATTCATGAGCAATTTGTTCTTGCCAGGGTGTATTATTAAGAGGAAATGCATATTAATTGCTGTATTATGCAAAATAGAGTGCTAGTTAATACTTATTTTCACCACATTTCTTCGGTTATTTAGAAGTTAGGAAGTTGCTTTGTTCACTTGGTTGGTCAACCAGGAAGCTGCTACTCAACCTCAGTGTCCCTTGTAGTATAAGGGAAGAGTATAAATTCTCATAGACAAGAAAAGGAGAGAAACGTGAGTTTTGGCCCCCAACATGTAGACTTTTGCTGCAAACCCAGTGGTGTGTGACTGCTTCAAAGAGCCAATGTGGGAAAAGAAAATATTTGTATCATGGTAATGGCCTCATCTATCTGCAGCACTTGACACCACAGCTGCCAGCTGTAAGGATGAATATCGTGTTGCAGATATATTGTGTCTGCGAAGTGGCAGCCAGGGAATGTTAATTCGGACAAGGCCATGCCAAAATGCAGGAGGGCTCCGAACACGCCTCGGCTGAAGGCGGCGTTCATGAAAGCCTACGCTGGTTGGCTTTACTCCTTAAAACACTCAGAATTACTGATTTCCTCTAACTAGCTTGACCACAGAGGCTGTAATAGCTATTTGAGAGACGCACACATACCAACAGAGCGAGATGATGTCTCTGAGAACATACTTTTTGTCCTCATTTGGATGCCCTTTCAGCTTTCATCCCACCACAGGTTGCCTCCTGGGGCCCAACTCTGGCCTCCTGCTCATCCACACACTGTTACAACCTTCCAGGCCAACACCATATTTGAAATCCTTTCTTTCATCACTATTGATTTCCTTTTATCCATCTGCTGGTGAAGTATTATCTACCACATCCAAGAACTAGCGCTCCATCACGGTCCTCTAAGCACGATCCACCCAGTCCAGCACCATTTTTCTCGGACTCATAGGGGTAAGCAAATTTCTACATCCTAATAAATCACCACATATTACATGAACCAAAATAATTGCCTGCATGGGTGCTTAGCCAAACAGGAGGTCAAATACAATCACTAGTTAAGCTACAACCATGTAAATGAGCCTTGGAGTGGCCAGCTCTGTGGTCTCCCTAAATAACATCTCCAATTGCACTTCCAGAGACAGAACACTAGATCAGGTTGGACACTGGCCTGTTCCCAGCAGAGCATTTCTCCTATTCTTACCTATATATATAAAAAAAAAAATAGCATTACCACAATACACAGCTCAAGATTTCAGCATCTGCAACAGATTGAGCTACAGCATCCACCACATCCCCGGGCTCCCAGGTCTAGCCATGCCCAGTCACATTTTCTGCACCAATAGGTTTAAATCAGCTTCTGCAAACAGGCTGTGGACAAATGCCCACAAATGTCAGAGGGAGGCCAGAGGAGGCCATTAGCTCACGGTCACAGAACCTCCCACCAGCTTCTCACCTCCCAAGAGATCCTCCCAGCTGCTTTTAGCAACCTGGTCTTCACCAAACAAGCTCATAAGCTATTTGAATCAAGGCCTGATTTTGCTCACCTGGGGTTAGGCACTTAACTGAGATGCCTGTGCTGAAAAAAGGTAGCTTTCAGATGGCAAAAAAGCCAATATAGACTTGAAGAATTACTCCTTTTCCTTCACAGAAGTAGTCAAGGGCCAAGCCATTATAAACTTCTGTCTTTTATAGATGCTCCAAGCTCAATGAGATGAACATAAAGCATTTGGTTCAAAAGGTCTCTGAATGGTGTTGGGGGCACCTGGGCACTACGACACTGGAAGCAATTAGAGGAAAATCAAAAGCACCAAAAAAACAAATTGGAGAAGAACAGAAAAGCATCCCAGGAACAAGGCAACGGAGACAGGAGCCAGTTCTTTCTGCTGCCTTTGCTGTTTCTAAATCACTCTTGTTAATAAATGGATATTAATCTGATGCTGTAGATACCAAATACTTCACTTGTCAATTGTCACCCAACTTCAAGTTGTGTTAATTATTTAATATCTACTTTTATATCATCTTTTTCTACATCAGAGTAATTTTCCATCCTATTAGTTTTTATATCAGAAGTCATGCAGAACTGTCTGCAGACTATTTATGTTTTGCACACTGCTAAATGCAAACCTGAATATCTCTGTTCATTTGTCTCTTATCTGAAAACTGAACTTTAAGTAGTTTGCAGAATCTGTTCCACACAGGTCTTTTGTTTTAATTGAGCTTTTCTTTTTCCCTCAGGAAAGCTAATTTAGTACAACTTGCAAGTAGAAAAATTGAATTTCTTTGGCTAATTAATTTTTATATCTGAAACAGAATATATTGACTTTTTTTCAGATTTTAATATCTCCATCTCAAAAATTCAATCCTTGGCATATGAAACCAAAGGAGAGTTAGAAAAGTTTTCAGGAAGCAGAAAAGTTCTCAGGAATTAGGAGGTTTAACAGGGATTATGTTGTTAGGATATAGCTGCTTGCTTTGCAGAGATGAAAAGCTTCTAAACTAGATGCAAAGCCTGTGGCCAGTATGGGCCTCCATTACAGAAACTGCTGAATTTCTCCTTCCACCACTAAAAATCAGAATGCACCCTAAAAGTAATCTGCATGGGAAGAGATGTGATATACTGAATCTATCATTAGATAAATCCATCAAAGAAACAACTTGTAGGTATTTACACCTCCACGGGGTACATTTTACTCCAGGAATACCACTGGAGATGAATGTTGTTCCAGGCATCAGGAGCAGGGCTGATGTTATACCTCCATACCAATACCCGTCTGTTTGCACAGGATCAGCTCAGGCCAGGACATTTCACCTCTTTTACTCTTTAATCAGCAGCTTCCTATTTAAATACTGCTGCTCCCTCGCCACCCCCAAATTGCCCCATGTTTTACTCCAATGCTTACAAATAATTCTAACAATTTCGCATCTTAGCAAATGTTGGACATGTGGGATTCATGCCTGGCTAACAGATGCTGTCTTACTGAGTTCTATGTGCTGACAGCAGAGTCAAGATCTACTCCAGTAACTGCAACAAGACCAGGAATAATCTTAAGCCATTGCTGTTAGGCATGCAAAAGCTTCTGGGTCAGGTCTAAAAGACATAAGAGGTCCAGACATGGTTCTGGAAGCAAAAATATCACTTTTCTTTTTTTTTCTTCTCCCTTTCCCCTTTGTATTGTGAGTTCTTCTCTGCCACTGAAGATCTGGGTGAACGTTTTCAAAGAATTAATTTCAAGCTTCAAAAGACACACAAAGAACCACTTGTCCAACCTGCGACATCAATGCTGCATATTGGCTTGTTTGGCTGCTCTCTGACTTCCTGACCTTCACCCTGCAGGTTTTGAGGGTACTGTTGTGGAAAACACTATACTGCAACACTAACAGTGGAATTACATTTAACAAAGAAGTGATTAGACACCAGAACCATTTGCGCAGCACATCACGGAGCTCTGCACGGACAAAAGTTTCAGCTGCAGGTTTGGCCTCTCATTAAAACAGAGCTGAACCTTTGAGCAATCAGGCATGGTGGCGAGGCCCTTGTCTCCTGGTGCAGACCCTCGGAGGCCGGTGCTGTGTCTGCAGCTCTCCAAGCGCCCGCAGCAGCCTGGCAGGTGACGCGAACGAGAGGTGACAGCGGCCCCCTCCATGGACTTAGCTGTCCTGAAGGCTGACGCGGAGGAAGAGCAGGTCTTTGCTGCGTCTCGCCTGGGCCCTGCCGCAGAGACGAGGGGAAGTGTCAGCGCTGCGCTGCTCACGTTGACACGGTTTTGGCCAGCAATGCAATCCCAGGAGTAAGGAAATACAGAGTAGGCTGGCACGCCCAAGCATCCACCACCCTCGAAACACCCTTCCCTACTTCATCTCGGTAGCCTTTGAAGACTTGGCTTTCTCTGTCACACAGAATGCAACACCTGGTGGGCCTGCCAAGCAGGCCATTCTGATCCCCAGCAAACCCAGACATCTTGAACCCCCCCTTGAAGCCCCATTTCCCAACTGAGGAGCCCCTTTTAATGCATTTGAATACATACATAGCAATAAAGAATTATATTTACACAACTCAAACTGTTCGAAGCAGCAACTGATAAACATGACTTCTTCAACTCTAGTCCTCAAATTTAAAATGATTTTTTCAGATGTGTGCGTAAGTGTGAAAGAAATGTATAATACATAAGTGTATCCTCTATAGGAAGGTACCCATGAAGTATCTCATTGGTTGTATCCATACCTTCACCATAAATAACCAAGTAGTTTCCTATGAAATATTCACCCTTAAATTACTGTTGTTCCCTATGCTTAGGTTATGGTTAAAAAAAATGCCTTTCCACATTCAAGTACGGTGCTGTACAGTAAAAATAAACTAGCACTTATTAAATTAATCTACATTCACAATACATCAATGTCTTGACCAAAGGACATCTTTCAAAACAATCAAAATACAGATTTTTTTAATGAAAATAGGAAAGCTGTGTGGTTGTTCCTTTTCTTTTAATTAATGACCTAACCAACCCTGCAAGTGCCTCACATGAATTGTGAACTACATCCAGAACTCACTCTGACGCAAATAGATCACATAAACTTTGGACGTTCTTCTGGGATATATTTTGGAAACAATCTTTCAGCCAAAATGTCAATATTTTGTGAATTCTTCCCAAATGAATAAAACTATTTTTTATCTTGCGTTCTGTAGCTTGATATCTAAAGGAAAAGATGAAAGCTGTCCAGACAGAAACAAACTTTAAGAAGAGAAAAACACGTGGAAAGATTGAAAAATAAAGGGAAAAGAGTAAAAGACGTTGAAAAGATGGAGGCAGGCTCTCCATACTGGTGGACAGCAGCAGCAGGAGGGAAACTCATTTCCTATTAATCCCTCTTAATGTCCTGCTCATTCCCACCAGGTGCCATGGCCACAAGGCTTGGTTCTCCTCCCTGTCAGTCTGCCTTGAGCTGGTTCTCATGAAAAGCTGCTTCATTCCCCACTTCTCCTGAAATCAGCCCTGCTCAGTACCAAAGCAAGCGGCTGTTAGTAGCAGAAACCCTCAAATCTTCCTTAAAAATCCACCTAAAACCTAAAGAAGGATCCCCCACCAAGATATCTTGATTGATTGGTTCTTAATAATTATTTTTATTTTCCTTCTTCTATTTGCGCCCTTTTCAACTTTCTTCCCAACACTAACAGGACAACACATTTTCTCTGTTTAAATATTCCATTTCTTTCTAAAGGGAAGAGGTGGTGACACTTGCCCTTAAGACAGACAACTAAGCAGTTGTGAAGCAGGGCACTGACTCTATTGGTCTTGGCGCAGGGCAGCTACCCAGCAAAGCAACAGGCAGGAGCACAGAGGTGGTGCAGACTAGGAAGACTATTTAGATGTGATCATATTCAATTGACAAAAAAAAAAAAAGCAAGTATTTTATGTAAATTCATTGAGAACCTGACGCGTCTTTGTCTTGAAGATTTATTTTTCAAGAAATATTCATCAAATGGCATGTCATACATGAAACAAATCAGCTAACTACTGCTGAGGAATTTTTTTTTAATTACTTGCAAAGGTATACTTTTGACTATTTCTTTTTTAATAAGACATTATTTTGCTGTATATGTTTTTAAGCTCATCAGGAACCTGGCAGTTTCCATGTGTCACTTTGGACCTTATAAATAATCAGTAATAACGAGTTAGCTGCCTATAATTCAAGGAAAGCACAGAATCCCAACAGTGCTATGCCTAGGCAATATTTTAAACGGCAGCAGAGCAATCCTTCTGATATCTTCTGGCCTGCAAGGGGAAGAAGTGACACCTAAGGCTATGTCTACATTATTTATACCACTTTGATAGATTAAATCTTTGCCACAAAGATGAGCTTTTGAAACATGCCCCAAAATGTTTAAGGATTCCACAGGTGCTCTTCCTGAGTGCAAACAAAGGCTCCTCTTTGTAGCAGGAAAGTCAAATTAAAATGCAAGTCAGTCCTGGGAGCGATAGTTTCTGCTTACAACAAATCTTTGACTGGACATGTTGGAATCATTTATTTTTAACTGACATAAATTTGGAACTTGCCTTCATTTTTTATATTTATATATATATATATAAAAAAAATGAAGGCAAGTTCCAAATTTTATATATATATATACACGCGCGCACACATGTCTTTATGTTAAAACATATATATGTTAAAACCTATATAAAGATATGTTTACATATCTTTAACATATATATAACATAGAACATTTATAACATCTATAAGATATATCAGTGATAAAAAGATTCACCAATGAATTAACACTGATACAATTAATTTAATTGTTTTGTATGTACAACCATGGAAACAAATTTAAATGTCTTAGAGGAGCCTCCCTGGTACAGAAGGGCAGAAGTCACATCTTCATATGAGATTTCTCAGGGCAAAAATTTGTGCAGATTTAGTTCAGAATTGTACAATTCTTAGAACGGTACAATTCCAGTACCAGCAAAGATTAGACTCTATTCCGTTATGAAGAAAATACTTTAAAAATACGATAGAATGTAATTCAAAGATGAAAACACATATATTTGATTCTCATCTCTAAATGTCTACAAACCGTGCAGTTGCCCACAGCCATCATTTGGGGAGCAAATCCCCCTCTAGAGAGTTTCTTCCAATGTAAAACTGCTCATTTAAACTATTAGAGCTATCCCTTGTTGTTAGAGATGATGGTAACACAGCATGCTGTCTATTCAATTAATGTCTTAAATATTTTCTCAAATTATTAATGGAATACACTTCTATGGCAACATTAGCTTACAATGTAAAATCATCTACAGTCAATGAGTGTCCTGAAATATAGCTGGAAAAAAAAGTTAATCCGTCTATTTGCTATTCCAGGACATATTCATTTGCTGTCAGAAACACATAAAATACATAAGAAATGAGATGTGGCAATGTCTTTATGTGGGACCATGAAGTTAACAGATAGATGAACATGCATGTCTTTGAATTTGATTTATTCAGATATTTTTCTTAAATACCACTGACATTATTTTTACATGTGGGGATTTCAGTCACAGTGGTTATGACTGTCTTGTAAATATTTACAGTAATTAGTTGGATCATAGTTCCTGCCAGTTATGACTGGTTGCTACAATAAGTAGTGCGGAATGCAAAAATAACTTTCCATATTGTAAACTTCTGTCTCAACTGGGGTTGGCTCCTCAGAATATTAAATTTCCTAATTATAATGAATATATTGGGCACTCAGACAACACACAGCACAGTCAAGAAGAGCATTAGGTAACATGAGGATCAGCATGATGGAGCAACTTGTGTAAGACCACACAATACAGATCTGGGGAATGGACCCAAGTTCTCCCATCTCTTCCAGAGATGGGCTTAGAGGAATTATCTCCATCTATTTAAGGTGCTAATGAGGAACATCAGATAAAATTTTAATATGAAGTCAATCCAAACCACTTTTCAAAGTCAGGAAGACTTTTACAAAGATGGAAAACCGTCTGCTGTCATTTGGCCTGTCTGAGTTAAGGAGACAGAACTTGGGGCAGATTTAATTGCAGTAAATGCAGCTCCGTGGATCCTCTAGCTGCCCTGCATAACCCTCTCCTCTCCTCCTGGAAACTGCCTGAGCAGAAAGGACGGCTCCTTACGGGAATAAGAACTATGAGCAGACAAAGAACAAAGCATGAAGCAAGGACTCCTGGGGGACATAAATGGAAATGTCACCAAGAGCTTCTACGGATGCGAAGCTCCCCAGGGAAACCAGGCATGAAATATTCCAGCTCCAAAGAGAATATGTCCAGCACGTGAAAGGCAAGAATCCCTAAGGAAGCACAGAAAATCTCCTTGGCACTAGCTAGAAAGGGCAGAAATCACCAGGTTCCCTAGAGACATCTTCTCATGTTTCTGAAACAGAAGACTTTGTTCTTTTTTATAATTATGATATATAGAAATGGCATTTTCTTAATGATAATTTGATCACAATTCCTTTTAACTGCACTTTTTTCAGTATTTTTATTTTCGCAGCATGTGGCTTTGGATCTAGTTGCCCAAGATTTGGAAAAGAGCACGAAATTTTTATGACATCACTTGACTGGTGTGAAAACTGATTCAAGATGGAACATTAGGCATGACACAAGTCCTAACACTACAAACTCACCCTGCCAAATCTCAGTCATAGCTTTAATAGAAAAATATCTGAAACATATTAAGCTGTCTTCTTTTTTTTTTCTTAAGTATAGCTATTATTTCACTGACTTTGATTCTGTTCCTTATTATTAGACTATTTAGTCATTTCCAAATTTGAAGGCAAGTGAGAATTAAGAGATTAAAAGCCTACAAACCATTTCTGCACTTGCCACTAGAGTTAAAACATTCTGAAACAAATTACCTCTTAACCAGCTCCACAGATTACAGTGGCGTTGTACAAACAGAATTTGGCCTTTGAATTTTCATCTGTAAAGAAAACACGTCGAGTTACATTACAGTTAGTGAAAGCTCAGGCAGAATAAAGATCAGAAAATGTTCTTTATTCCGATCACTTAACCCAAGGATGAGCAGTGGCTTCTCTTCGCTTTCGCCTCTATGACAAAGAACAAAAGGCCAGAGTTTTAGGACTCCTTTCAACATAAAATTGCTTTAAAATGTGCTCTCTGAAATACATTTCTTCTAATTCCCAAGGAGTTTATACCAGTATTTTTCGAAAGGCAATTTGGAATTTAACAA